GAAGGGAAGAGAGCGCACTGCCCTCTGTTGAGAACAACAAATCACTGCAGCTCAGCTAATAAGCCTAAACAGGGGTTGAAAACAAATTAAATCCTGCATAGAAAACACAGATTTATGAGGGATGGGCCCAGTATTGGAGTGTAGACTTCTGCACTGAAGCTTCTATTGTTTGCAGCTTCATTGTGAAGCTTGAATGCCTGTTGCAGATAATTGATTTTCCTGTAATTGCACACTAAAAGCGCAAACTACATAATCACTACAGTCACTATCCTTGTACTCAGCATGGGGTAAAGCTCAAAAGCTTTCAGACTTTGTAACAATCTAAAATTCTTTCTCAAAAAGACACAGTATATAAAACGATACACTTGAATGGACAGAATTAAACTGATGACTACTAATGAGAAAATTTTGTTAGACAGTTCATATATTTTTTTATATTGACATCTGGTTGTGTAGTTATCCACATGAGACCTGCTGCAGTGTGCAAAGGAGTGTGCAAACTTGCACACAATAACAAAAACAACTTTTAGCATGGTGAATCTGTCCATTCTTTTGGGGGTCATCCAGTAGTTATCCAGTAATAATCTATTACTTGCTTTATTAGGACATATTTCTTTACCACTGCCTCAATGTCAGAATTTAAGGTTTTAATATATTTATTTGGCCAATTCCTTTGCCTGGATTAAAATAATGACTCATATATCACTGCAATATTCTTAAAAAAACAACAATTTGATTATGCAAATTAGATTTTTTTTATATGAAATATGTTTCATGGAGTATTATTTCCCATTTATGGATGACTAATAATAACCTTAGCCAGGATTTTTTTTCTTCTGTGTTTTCATTTTTGTCAACAAAATGCATATATATATATATATATTTTTTACAAATGTCCATTATTCGATCAGCGGTCATTTTCAAACTTTTACTGATAGGATACAGATTTTAGAATATCGGCACTGATTAATACATTAATTTAGATTTTGCACACATCCCTCATCTCTTTCTAACACTAATTTCTCATTGCTTGCTTCCCTCCCACTCAATCAGACACTGATCTTTTTCTAGTCTAATCCAGTATGCTCCTTTTTAACTTTCTAATTTTAGATGACTTTTTAAAACTACAAATAACAATTTTGCACAAGATATTTCAACCATTTGGTAACTCAGAACCATAGTTCCCAGGAAATAAATGCTTCTTGAAATCCAGTGTTTTTTGTTTCAGACAGAAAATAGAATAGAAAATCCCTTTATTGTCCCACAATGTTGAAATTGTGTTGTTACAGCATCAAAAGATTTTAACAAACATGGTCATGCAAATGTAGAGCTTAAACAAAGTGTATAAAAATAACAGAATAAGTGACAGAATTAAAAAAGACAAATAAGATATTGTACTGTACAATGTTTTACAATATAAATACTGTGCATCTGGAGAATAAATAATCAATAAACAGCTTTGGACATTTTTACAGTAATGGATATGAGAAAATAGCAGCAAATACAAAAACTATTCTAATAAAGAAGACAATCCTTCAAAACAAATGTCCCTGTTTTTCCAAGTATTTCTGCTTTTCTCACTTAGTTCTGTCTTGCTCTGTCTTGCCCCTTTCATTTTGAGCTCCATCAATAATCACAGGTTCTTCAACTTTGCTTCAAAGTCAAAGGCAAAATTGAAAGCGACTGTTCACTGTCACTACATGCTGTTCAATTCACATTCCAAATTAAAGCATTAACCAGTGCTTCTCTGTAGTAGTTATTCACCATCACTTCAGTTGTTTCATCTTCATTTCATAGAGCGGGCAGTAGCATCCTTATCTTGTGTGTGTCTGCAACAATATTTGACCATCTTGGATTTGGGAAAGTTGTTTTGCACCCGCAGAGGATGACTAGTGGTTAGCAGTGTATTGTATGATAAACTACTGCCCACTGTAGTGGACTATAATTTACACAGTTTTGACATAAAAAAAAACCTGCAGATATTTTATCTGCAGAGACAACAATGTATGAAAGGAATATACAGTAGCAGCCATTCAAAATGGCCCTTCCCAGTCAAACACCAGCTGAATGGAAGCCAAATTCCAGCCACTGGAGTGACCCATTCCTTCTCCTGGGCATGCATATTTTCTACTCTGATTCCACCCTTTCACTAAATTAGAGGGTCTGATCAGGAGTTGGTGCTTCTCTTTAGATCTCATTGTACACAAATCATGACAGAATATTTTAGTACAAAGATTACTAATAAAAAAAAAGGAATCTTAGGGGACCAGCCAAGGGCCCATCAAGGTAAGTAGGAATATTTTGAATAGCTACTACTGTACACACATTATGAAACATAAACATTCATGCCGTTGGTTCTAGTAGAAGATCTTACATCTCCTGATGAATTTGGTAAATTAATTAAATTTTCAGTTTCCTGCCACAGACCAGTCTCTCAATGATATTTCACATATCTTTAGGAGAAAGCTCCTAATATAAATGGACAAAATTGTTGAATCCCCTTATTTAATAAAAAAAAAATCCACTATGGTGAGATAACCTGAATCTTACTAAAATAATAAGAACTAAAAATTCTTTAAAATGAAAAAATAAAAGTCAGACATTACTTCTCAACCATAAAACAATGAATAAAACAATAAACTAATGAAACAGGCCTGGACAAAAATGATGGGACCCCTATAAAAGAATGAAAAAAATGTTTTCACTAAGTAGCATCATAGGTGTTTACAATTTTGTATTCAGTCACTGGGCTTATATATAAGGCTGTCACTTGGCTTTTTGGTGACATGCTGTGTACCCTACATGGACCAGATGAAGCTAAGGACAGTGTTATCTCAGGAGACAGAAAGAAAGTTATTTACAGGATGTTCTATATAAAGACTATAAGTCCATCTTCAAGCAGCCTGATATGTCTGTGACTAATGTTGTGCTTATTAATCAGAGATTTTACTTCCATGGGACAGTATTAAACCTCCACTGGATGTGGCCAAAAGATGAAAATGTATGAAAGATCAAAGAGACAGATAATACGAATTGTAACAAAAGATCCCAGAATATCCTCTAAAGATATTAAAGGTGAACTTTAAGCTCAGGGAACATCAGTGTTAGATCGTACTATCTGTTGTTGTTTGATCACATATTTTGTTGGAAGAGAGGGTTGTGACAGATAAACTAGCCTCTCACTGAAAATGTGAAAAGAAATCTGGTTAGAATGGTAAAAACTAAAAATCGAACACATCCTGAGGAACCTGCAGACCAAAACAAAATATTCTTATTTAAACCTTATTACAATAAATCCAATATCATAGACATAGATGTAGATCCTTCAAAGTAAGAGACCTCTAAAACATAAGCTAAGGGTTACTTAATTACAGATAAAATGATTTAAATTTTAAAACAATGATGATGCCCTATTACCAAAAAGGCACAAGCCTAATTTTAGATTCTTTAATATTTTTTCCAAAGCCTCTAGAACCCCTGCATGTTTGTTGCTTAGTCTTTTTTGTGTACGTGCCGGACAACTAATAAATTTCCTTTCAACAAATTAGTGCAGGTGCATGTTTATATGTCAACCTTTTATTAATAATTTTGACAATATCTGAATTTCATACATTTCACAATACATTAACAAGTTTCGCTTTTGTGAAAATTTATTACGCATACACATAGCCACATAATATACAATTTTCACTCTCAAAGTAAATAATATTAATTTAAGCCCAAATAAAAAGACGCTCATCCACAAATTCAGTTATGCAAAATACTTTTTGGAAAAGTAAAAAAAAAAAAAAACCTCCAGGAAAAACTCTGTTTTCCCTTTATTGGTGATATTCAACCTCTTGTAATTTTTATGGTCTGCTTAAGCCCAACATGACACTGAACTGGTGTCCTGTAGTGGATCTTACTGTAAAACACTGTTATATATTCCCCTCCCCAGGGATCACCCCATCAAAGGCTTTTGGTGGCTTTTTGCGAACAGCATACTAGTATCCCCAAATATTGACTGACCCAGAATTGCTGTTTTCTTTCCTCTCATCCATACTGATTTTCACTTTCCCTAAGTGTTCTCCTCTTCCCTACTTATTAACAGCCCATCCTTTAAAAATAAAAATAAAAAAATGCTTTGAAGTGAAGCTTGCATGGAAAGTGTGAACATATGGGAGAGCTGGAAGGAGACGTAAATACAGACTTACCCAAAATATGTTTGATGAAAAGCTTGGACCTCATCTCTGCCCGAATGCCCCCCCCTCCTCTCAGTAAGAGTTTGTTCTAGTTGGCCCCCAAAAAAACCCAACACAAACAACATAAACAACATAACATAAGATAAATAAGATAGCTTTTCTTATTGTCTCTACCAATGTTTGCTTTTCGAAATAATACAACAGGGTTGTGTTGTTCAGTGACTCCATTTTTGTATGCATGAGTGCCACTTCTAGATCCCTTAGTATGAATATTAATTTTCAAGACAGTGTGTGCTCTCTGTATGTCACTGCTGGAAAAGGTTTAGTGTTGAATTTTGACTCTGACACACAAAGGATTGGCCCAATAAAACCAAGCATTCAGAAAATCAAATTTGTTTGAGGGATATGGTTTTTGCATTCATTGAATTTTTTTCTACATTGTTTTCATATACATTAGTGGAGAAGAAATCTGTTTGGCTCTTGCGATCTCAAGAACCATTCCCCTTATAGTGCTGAATGTATTTCTCTTTTCCTCAACTGAGAATGAATGTCAATATTAATTCATTCTATTCCAGATTGTATACATACATATAAATATGAGGAAACAGTAAACTTTTCGCACTTATAAGAATGCTGAAGTTCACTGTTTAAAATGTACAGAAAGTTTCTAGTCTACAGAAATAGATCTAACATTGTTTATCAATGTAACTTCTCTTAATCTTTCATTTATATCTTTCTAACTTAAGTTTATTTGGACTCTGGCAGTTTTATTCCTACCTTTGCTCTATTTCATTTATTTATTTTTGCTTCCTTTCACAGGGTTGAAGCAGTGGGCTACCAGCGTGTTCTGCAGGTGGATCTGGAGGTGAATGGATTGATAGTGACTCAGGGCAGCAGGGAGGTGACATGGCAGGTGGAATATCCACTCACACGCACCCTGACCAGTGAAGTGCAGACCCTTATCCGTCTCGCACCCCAGGACCTTGGCGGTATCGTGCCACTTGCCATGGTAAGAAAGAAGCAGCTTTGCTGTTCAAGGTGTGACAATCCTGTACACATTTTATGCTCATTTGAAGCCAGTTTCAGACCACTTTAAACTTTGATGTTACCTACCTAACAATGGCTTACACGGGCAGCAGCAGTTCCTCAGAGGTTTAAGAGACCTTATCTAATCCAAATGAATAGATTTGAGCGGGGAAAAATACTATTGAAATAAAATGAGGAAACAACACAAGGTACCAAATGTTTTTATTTTTATTTAGTTCACTCTTAACCCTTAAAAGCATATTATAAAAATGATGTCAAACTTCCACATTTGAATTAACTCCCTTAATCCTAAAGAGTGAGCAGGTAAAACAGCAGCTTTATATCAGATATGACACATTATTGTATGTATCATTGATTATTTAAAAAGGAAACACATAGCGGCTGTTTTAGGATTATTATAATGTAATTATGTAAGTATCAGTATGACATAACGAAACATTTCTTTTGCACAGGGGATCAAATCATGAAAAAATATAGCCCAAAATAATACAAATAAAAAAAAAACTGGCAAACAGCAATGTTTTATGTTTTAAAATTTGTTGGACACACAACTGAACAAATATCATCCTTTCTCTCCCAATTCAAAACTGTACCCTATAGTAATTTAAAAAAAAATATTTGTTGGTTCATAATACATTGAGTATTGTAAATTACAAATTCAATTTTTGGCAGAAAATATTTCAGGCCGAACACACATACATGGTCCTTATGCTCGATCATTTTTGTTAAGAAAATAATAATTTGAAGTTGGTTTTTTTTTTTGCCAAACAGGGATTCAACTTGAAAAATAATCAGATTTTGTTTTAATCTGTAATCAGGTTTTATCTATCAATTTTTAAGACACTGTTTTTAGTTTGATTTCTTTTTTTTCCAGAACCCTTCAAAAATCATTTTTAGTGGTAACAAGGGACTTGGTAATAAGACGTTTTTGTCTTCCTGAATTTTATCAGAAAACCTTTTGTTATTTCGGAGAAGTTAAAGTGTTTCATCCGTCTCTAACTCATCTATTTATCTTCCATTACATGAGAGAGTGACAAAGAGGTCACTGCAGTCCACAAAATGGAATCTGAGCTTAGCTTTTAGCCTTCCTTCAGTGAACCGTCATATCACTTGGGTCCCTGTCTTTCTATGGGATGGATTTATTAAAACAAGAACTACGGATATTATGCAGATTCGAAAACTGCACTTGCAAACTGGCTTTCTGAACATCATTTACTCTCTAAAAAAACACAACGGATGTTCTTTTTAACACAGACGTGTAATTTAATTTTGGGAATGCTTTACAGAGTTTGCTCTTTGAGAAGTTAATTAAACTAGGATTTTTATCTTCTAAATGTTGATGAATTGGCGAGTGGCCTCAGGAGACTAATTACATTATGTAAACATGATAAACTGCTGCATAATTGGTTTTTATTCACAAATGGAAATACAATCTCAGTATCTCAAAATAGTTTAAGAGTAATTATATATGTTTAATAATCCCTCAATTTTAGTGGTACCAGTAACTGAAAAACAAATTCCTTTGAAGCACTTTGTCAGCTCTTGTCAAACTATTTGGTTAGGCGGTAGTTCACTGCTAATTTTCCTCAAGTTATTTGATATAACCTCAGACTGCAGCAGTATTACCTACTTCTAATGCTGTCCATTTGAATTTAAGAAAGGCATGGATAAATCCATATTTCCAGTCAATCTGTTTATTTGTTTATTTTCTTTTTATTTCAAATCTAGCTCCACTACAGAAATGTGTGGAAAAAGTAATACAGTAGTTTCCTTGCAAACATCTGTCTCTAGGACATTGTAGTGCACTGTATCGTCACTGGCAAGGCTCCATGACTTCCACATCTTCATTGTTCCTAAAAAAAAATAGAAGCTAGCTTGAGCTTAGAATTTGCATGGGTGGACAATCTGCAGATCTCCTAGGTCTAGTTATGGGCTGAAAACAAAAAAGGCCATCTCTGATTCCTAAGTAGAGTAAGACTAATACTTCAGAAAATCAGATTATTTTGGCTAAAACACCTCGCATGTACCACCTTTCTTCTTCCCCTTTGAACTAAAACTGTAAGCCATTCCAAAGACACAGCTAAGAGCTGCAGCAGACCACCTTCCGAAGAAGATGTCTGCAAATAAATTCCAAGTTAATTGCTTCTTCTTTTCTGTTGATACTATTCAAACCATCCCTGGGCAGGTAGACAAATGGAAATAGAGATAAATCCTAATGTTTACACTGGAAATTGTTTTTGTTAGTATTTTCATGTAAGATTTGTCATTTTGGAATATGAAACTAAATCGCTAAACATGCTTGGCTAGTTCTTGTTTGCTTTGAATATGGTTTTAGAAACTGAGACTGTGCCACTGGTCATCTCAGATCACTCCTTTCTCCCTCCTTCTCTTGCTCTCTTTCGTGGGACCAAGTATTTCTAGCTGCCAGCCAGAAACCCTTTGCTCAGACCATGTGTGTTGCACAGCCTATTCCTTAAGGATTAACAGAGTGGAGATTTTTAGAGGACCTAAATGCAGAGATGGAAGCTGAGGTGCTTTCTTGTAGATTTAATTAGGAGTGGTGGCAACAGAAGCATAAATCCAAAAATAACTAATCATGGAACACAGGAACCAGAACAGGGGAACACATGGGTTAATGAAGGAATGAAGAGAATCCAACAAAAAGTAATTGCAGAGGAGGGGTAAATATGCCAAGCTGATTAAAGAATGGAGTCATTAACTGATTGGGAGCAGGTGTGGACAGAAGGATCTAGAAGGGGGCTATGGGAAAGGAGAATTACACAAGGGGGCAAAAGAGAGTAACAAGAAATTCATAAGAATTCATTTACAAACAAAAAACAACTAGAATGACACAAAATGGAGATTAAACCAATTACATAGAAAACACAGAATGGCATTAATCAATCTGTAACTGAAAACTCAAGGACAAAGACATGACAAAGACAAAGTGACCAGAGCTCAGAGATAAAAAATAGAAAAAGATTAGGAGGAAATCAAGAAACAGGAACCTTACAGTTTCATGTATCTTTACATATTTTTTTCATATGCTTGCCTATCCTCACTGGTGTTAGCATTTCATATAAATATTCTGAAAAAAAGTGATAATAGGTTAGTGGTAATAGAGCAGCCTTTCCGTTTGCAAGTCTTTTGTAGTGTCCTCTGCTCTGTTTCACTCCTTTTCTCAGTCTACATTTGTTATTTTGCTTTTATCAATCAAAATGTATTCTCATCTCTCCTCTTCAGTCAGCCTTTCACTTTTCTCAAACATAGGATTGTATATTCTCAAGCCCCATAAAAAAGGCCTATGTACCGTACTGAAAATTCCCAGTTAACAAGTAAAATAATTTTTTGTTTCAGATGCCCATTTGAAGTTTTTATTTATAGAACAGTCTTAGTATAACCTTAATATAAATATTATGTTTCATAAGCTGATGAAATGCCAAAAAGCTATACTTAAAAAAATAAAAAAGACTTCACTCTAAACAACAAAATAACTCAAAACAACTGATATTATTTTGAGTTTCATGCTCCACAGACGAAATGCCCATCTAACCAGATGATTATCTCTCCTTTCTTATTTTTCAGGTCATGGGTTCTTGCTTCTTTCACAGTTTCATTAACTTATTTTTAATGAGCAACTTTTATATCTCCAAATTGAGTAGAAAAATGCACCTAAGACTGAAGATCTAATTACAAAAACTCTTTAATAACTTTACAAAAATTTCATGCCATCCTCTGATTGTACAAACTACAGATCAGGTCAGTAAGTTCTAAAAAAACGTTTTCAGATTAAATCCTTGTTGACACTGTAGGCAATGCTTTACAATGATTTTTTTGTTCTAATCACCTTGTTGTGTTTCTTGTGTCTCTTAGGCTGCGTTCACACTGCAGCCTGAAGTGACCCAAATCCGATTTTTTTGGCCCTTTTCCGCCTTTTTTTTGTTTTTTTTTTGGTTTTTTGACCACTTCGGTTCGGTTTTTTTTCCTGTGCGCCCGGGGCCTTTTGTCTGTGTTCTTGTGTCTGCTATGCGTCTGTTCTTTTTTCATGTGCGCTGTGTGTGTGCGGGCCGTTGTTATTTTTCTGCGCTGTGCACGCTTTTTATCCGCGGCAGGTGTCTCTTTTGTGTGTTTTTCTATAGAGGCGGGGGGAGAAACACTATCCCTATCGGAGACTGTTGTGGGGAGAGGTGTTTTTGTTTTTCCCGCTTTTGAAGATTTTGTTTTTTTGTTTTTGACAGATCTCTCTATGTTCTCTGGGGCTCTCCTCTCTGTTTTTTTTTCGGTACACAGATTTTGCTGTGGTGTGTGGTGTTTTTGTGTTCTCTTGTGCGTGTGGGGGACTTTTGTTTTGTGTGTCTAGTTTTCACAGTGGATCTCGTATACGTGTCGTATATTTTTGAATTTTAACTGGCATTATAAAAAATTTGATTTTCCCAAAAAATCGGAACTGAGCTTCGAGGCCTGCAGTGTGAACATAGCCTTACTCATGCTGCTCCTGTGCTTCCTTTTGTTATTCGATGTATTAACAAAAGCTCCGTTTTTCACCTCTCATCTTTAGTTAAATATATCAGATCCCAGACCATTTTTACACCTGGGCACAACAAATTTTGACAACGCTACTAATGTTTCCTAGTTTGATCCAAACATTTTCACTGCAATTATGAGCCCAGTCCAAACATAGTTGATCAGTTCACATATAAACCAGGCCAGAGTGGGACAGAAACTCAGACCTGGCATCTTAGACCAGACCACCAAATTTAGTAACACACCTCCTTTAACTTCCGAGCTAAAATCCATCAAGCCATCCTCATGAAGTTATAAAGATGACTCAAGACAACACAGAGACACACAGAAAATATAAACGTGTGTTCATAATGGCCCCTAATATATGAACAGTGTAACCCTTCTTTAGTCAAATAGACGACTTTAGCCTTTGGAGGTCTGATTTCCTCTCTGCTTTCA